AGGAAATGCCCATATTCACTTTAATGGGGTGAGCCCTCTTCACAAAACCTAAGGGGGAGCTTGGCAAGCTAAGTGTAACATTTGTGTGGAAAAGCTGAATAACCATTATCTTATAACCAATAAAAATAATTCCAATGATATATTTTTTTTCACTCTTCTTAATCTTAGCAATACAATCACAAAATGGTCTCAACCTATGCAATAATTCATAAACTCAAACTATCAATTCAAATATTTTACAAATAAATCAAGTACAGTACAATGACCATTTTTGAAAGAATTCCTCCTCCTTATCCTCACATCTTGCTGGCCCAGAAATGTAAACAAGATTGAGCAAACTGATCAGGCCTCTAAGGCTGAAATCAGAACAATGAGAAGCAAAGATATGACTTCAATTCGTGATTTTATATGAATAGCTTACATCCTCTGCAGTCCATCAGCACCAAGATTGTCAGTACTGGCAATGCAAACTATTCAGTACAACGTAATGTAACATTATCCTAAAATTCTTTAGAAACCTTAATAGTCTCTAAAATTAGGACCTAGACTGCTACAAGAAGATGGTAATTATTAACACTCCTGTAAGGAAAATCTGTAAGAAAAATTTCCTCTTCAGCATATACCTCCAAATACGATAAACTGCATGGATTCAACATAGTGACATATTAAATGGTGCTTTTCATTTGTATTTCTATTGTATACTGCAAACAACAAAGTTTTTCAATATTACAAATCAAATAGTGGTGATGTTAAGTAATAGGTGTGGCCTCTATGCCTGAGATCTTTGGTAAAGATCAATACCACCTATTTTCTGGTAAATAACAGCCAAGACTGGTGCCAGGGAAGTCTACAGAGCTCTGTAATTTCTTGAGACAAATTCTCTTTAGGGTCATTAGGCATCTATTATACTTTTGGTGAATTTCAATATGGAAGGCATTTTGGTAGATATAAATCAGGCAAAATGATGTTTTGATTGACTGATTGAAATGCAAAATGACATATGGTTAGTATATGCCTGCCTTGTTTATATTTATATCATACAAGACTCATGTCTTGGAATTTGTCAATCAGTTAGTTCCATGTACTGATTACTTTATGGGTAGAGACGTCCAAATCCAAAAATTGTAAAGAAATGTATTAATAATACTGGTAAGATATCAAAATGCTGTTAAAATATACCGTATATGCTTTTTGATAATTTAAAAACTAGGTTAACATTACAGAGAGCAATGCAAAGAGAGAGTGGAAAATGGACACTGACATTTTACAGAGCATAAAAAATAGAGCAATAACAATACCGGTGCAGCTGCATCGGCCTCTTATTTACCACAAAATGACAAAAATATCCACAGTATATCACCATTCAGAGATTAAGTCCCCAAGACCCTCACATAGCCAGAGTTCTTAATGTCGCACTTTCTGTAAGTTGGAACGAAGTGCAAATGGCTTGCCCCCCCCATATAGGGAATAGAAAGAAGATATAAAAATTTAGGTTTGAATTTATAGGTTTGCTTGATACCCTGGTTTTGGATGCATCACTCTCGGTAACAAATACCAAAAACGCTGATGTCCATTTTGAAAATGTTCCTGTTATACGTGAAAATTTACCACGTCATCGAATATCTCTATCATCTTCAAGTAATGCAGCACAGCTCTTTCATGAAAAATAATACGCATGTCTTCAGACTCAATATAATATATTGAATTTATCATTATTCAAATCAGGTTTTTGCCATGCACCATTTCCACATTTATATCTCAATTAATATAAAAAAAATCCAAGAATGTCATTTACTGCTTGTTACATTTATCGATATAGTAACTCCTCTCGTCATAAAAGAACATAAGAGTAACGAAACATCTCAAGAACACCTAAAAATGAACGAATTTACAAACAAATAACAGAATAACAGGTTAGTGATAAACTCGTCCTTTATTTACCATTACACACCTTCGACCCTTATTTAGGCCGCCATTAACCATACATCTTTCTTATTACCACCTTCATACCTTATTTTCACACCTCCATCAACATCTGTGGAGTAGCGAGCAATATTCTCCGCCAGTTGCCATAGTCGGGGGTCAGCTGTTGCCTCTCTGTTGACATTGGCAAGTTATGGCGAGGAGGACTACGAGCCGAAGGGGCACGAGCCTATATTCTTTCTATTATATTTAGCAGTTTTGAGGGCTCGTTTCCTTATTTAGTTTATATAAGTATGGGATTTATTTTATAATACAAAATACTGATGCTGTTTTCATTGTTTGTTTACATTGTTTAAGACGTTGGGAGTTATTTTCTTGCAATCCTTGCAAACTGCAACATAGCGGAGTGCAACAGCCTTTGCGGAATTGTGTCGGATCTCACGTGAAATAATCACTACACACAAAGCTCGATTCACACACCATCTTTAGCACAAGAACTTTGCTGTATAAGGAAGAGATCTGTAAATACCCCGTTTCGAAGATATTGCTTTATTAAGATCGTACTTTATAGGATCAATTCTTTAACTCCTTTATTAACTGACAGCGAAATCTTACAAGTGAGTCATGTGAGGGAGAAAAGAAAAATCTATACGAAAGCATAAAGTCTTATTAACATAATTTGTTGTTGGTATGCTGTGACCCGCGAAAAAAAGGTATAAAGAAAAGAAAAATCCAATACGAAAGCATAAAGTCTTATTAACATAATTTCTTGTTGGTATGCTGTGACCCGCGAAAAAATATAAAGCCTGAAAGCGTGGGTGGTTCGAAAAGCTGTCTAGTTCATCGTGTCTTTTCTCGAACACCGGGATGACGCAACTTGAACACGATTAGAATCACAGGCCTTTGGTTAAGTTGCGAGTCTAGGCTATATTTATTGCAGCCATTAAGTTGAAAAGTATCGTCCAAGTGTTTTGGTTTTCTTGTAATGAAGGAAAATGTTGATTCCTAGTCTTAC